CAGACATCGGCTATCAGGTTTCCAGCCTGGAAAAATCCACAAAGGCCCCTGGACACAGACGCCATGGGGACACCATGCAGACAGCGCATAAAAATAGCTTGCCCAGCATTTTTGGAAACTGATGCAAGATGTACTTGTGGCTTTGTGTGCTTCCTTTGCTTTATCCAGTAACAACGGAAAGGAGGCCAATTACCAGGGCCATGAGAACTTGGACGCTCCAGGAGACACACAGTATTCACAGCAGGGTGGGTACCAACCCTGTGTGACATGACCACACACAACAACAACTATAATTCATTCTGATAACCAATAAGAATGCATCCATCTGTTAAGAAATATTTATTGAGCACCTAGTGCATGCTAAGCATTCTGGGGAATTCAGACATGTGTCGGTTATTCCCTGGTTTTAAGGAGTCTGAAGTCTAGTAGTGAAATAAGACTTGTTCAGAACGTATGTATTAGTATCATCTGAGAGGTACAATCATTCTGAGAATGGAGAGATCACTTCAGTTGAGTGATCAGAGAAGGCTCTGTTAGGGAGGAGGGCACATGGAATGGATGTACGATTAATTAAAGTATAACACACATACACATATAAAGACTACAGGCTAACTGAATTTTCACAAGCTGAGCACATTATATAACCCGCACACGTGTTATATAATCAGTTAGACCAGTACAGTACTCCAGAAGCTCCCTTGTGCCCTCGTCCAATCACTCTTGGAGGGAGCAGGATTTTGTTAGATGAATGTAGATAGAAAATTACTGGAGGAGGGATCAGCATGCATAGAGATGTGGACATTAAAAGGCAAGACCTACGTTTGAGGAATGGGCTGAAGAGATCTTTGCTTGGAGTGTCAGCTGGAGAACAGGCTTGTGTTCATGTTGTAGAGCCTTAAATGCCAAGTAAAGGAGTTAAATTTTATTCATTCATTAGCTGCTGACAGTTTTTGAGCAAGAGAGGCATATTTTCTATGATTTTTTTCAAAACAACTTTTTATTGAAGTATAGTTGATTTACAATGTTTTGGTAGTTTTAGGTGTACAATAAAGTGATGCAGTTATATATAAATTATTTTTCAGATTCTTTTCCATTATAGATTATTACAAGATATTGAATATAGTTTTGTAAGAATTTTGATGACGGTTGGTAGTTTATTGGTAATGGGAGAGGTGAGACTGGAGGTCAAGTGACTGGTCAGAAAGCTTCTGTAATATCCAGCTGTGAGGTAATTTTGGCTCCGCAGGGGCAGGTAAGGACAGAGAGTAGCTAGCCAAAACAGACACTATTAAAGAGCCAGCAAAACTGAATGGCTGTGGATCCTGAGGAAGGAAGAGGAGTCAAAGAAAATTTCCTTCCACAGAACTAATCGAGAGAAAATTTAGTGATTTTCTCAGGTAGTTCATTGTTATTATTTTGTTAAGGGTTAACATGATCTTTAAACGCTGTCTCTCCAAGAGACTTCTGAAAACTTTCTTTACAGTATTTAAATAAAACTTTTGAGTTATTACAAGGAAACTACAAAGCAGCAACTGATCTTCCAGACAAAATGAGTCCTTTGTTAGTCAGCAACGTGGAGTGTTTGTCTTTTCAAATGGGCGAATGCTAGAATAAACATTTTGCTGGGAAAAACTGACTCCTAGAAAGACTTGAAGATGTCACCATAATAGCTAATTATTGGGTGTTGCTCGCCTGCCTGTCTATCCGTCCTTCCCGTAAACGATTCTCATTAATACAGATTTCTGGATAGGATTAATTAATTTCATGGTATACTTTTGCCGGTAATTTGATTCTACAGGAAACAAAAAACCTTTTTTTGGAAGAAAGGACATAATTTTTTTTCTTTGACAGCGTTTTATATCACTTTGGCTATGTGGGTCGTTTTTTATTAAAGCTCCCCCTCCTCCCCAACGTCTCTTTCCCCCAAAAGCAGTGGGTTCTGAACTGAACAAATAATCACTGAGCACCTGACACGTGCTATGATGTTCTGCAGCGTCTTTCAAACTCTGTCCAACCAGCACCTTATTCCTCAGAAGCTGTGTCTTTCTGGAGCTTTTGGCGCACGTGGTGTCCCGGACACTGGGATCTGCGCAGTGAAAGCTCAGCAGACAGAAGGGAAGTTGTTCTTGAAAGCCCGAGTGTGCGGGGGCCCAGGAGTCCTTTCTGGGACCAGATGGGAGGAGGGGAGAGTTTCTTGGGAAAGAACACGGGGTGGGAAGTGGAGGGGAGTCGGGCGAGACTTGGTTTCAGGCAGGACCCCGTGCGCTCTCCGGACCCAACGCTCCATTCCCCGGGAGAGACGCCCGGCCGCGCCACCGCCCAGCCGGAGAGCCCAACTTTTCCTGCCGCAGGCAGAGGAAGGGAGTTATTAAGTTTGAAAGGGAAGTCCCTCCCCCCTTCCCGGAATCCTATTGGTCGGGGCCGGCCCCACCCTCGTCGGGACGG